CATGATCCTGCTCCTTCTTTTTGTCTCTCTTTCATAGTTTTATGGAATGCTTTACTGAACTACTGAATATCTCCTATGCAGCACTGAAATTGCTTTTCACTTTAGATCCTGCCTGTCTGCCCCTGTGGTGCTTTGCATTTGGGTCAGTTTACCAGCTTCATCTTAAACTGCAAATATAGCACAACGGTAGCAGCAAAGCTAAAATTATTTCCACATAGGGCCTAAATGCATGATTGAAGAGGTTAAAAACGGCTTCCATAAAACCTAATCAAAGAATCTAAATATATATCTGATATACACCTATAAAATACTTTATAAAAAAAAAAAAAAACCCTCTCTCTGGTGGTCACAGACACTTGAATAATGAGGTCCAGTCCCAACCCAACCCTGACACACTTTCACTGTGGAGGGTCTGCTACATTAAACTGAATAGGTATATTGTTATGTAAGTGATATTTATGATCTTAATAGATCAATTGGTAGTGGTATAAATCAAAAGTACACGTGTCTGTTAAAGAAATCAGTCGCCCCAAAGCTGCAGCTAAAATTCTACTCTTCCCCTTAAGTCAAGGGTGTCCAACTCCAGGCCTCAAGGACCGGTGTCCTGCAGGTTTTAGATATCGCCCTGGGTCAACACACCTAAATCAAATGATTAGTTCATTACCAGGCCTCTGGAGAACTTCAAGACATGTTGAGGAGGTAATAGAGCCATTTAAATCAGCTGTGTTGGATCAAAGACACATCTAAAACCTGCAGGACATCAGCCCTTGAGGCCTAGAGTTGGCCACCCCTGACTGAAGTAAAGAGACCCTTCAACAGCCATAATTGTGAAGTTTTTAGGACACAGACTGGAATTGGGCCAATGTGCTAGGATACCATAAAATGCATGCATGCGATACAAAGGAAAACTGCACAAGTTGATCACTGTACACAAGCACATAGATTTATTTATACAAATATAGTATGTATAACAATTGCATATCAAGAGTTTGTTATCTATTTTTTTTTTAATCTTTACGTTAAATACAGGACCATTCGCTTCAAAAATGCAAGTCAATTAAGAAAGAGTACCGATAAATTAAAGGTACAAAAAGGGATCTGTCTTATTAAGATGTACTTTGAGAGTCAGAAATGGTTGTAAATCATATAAAACCTGGACATTAAGGTCACCTAATCCCAATATTTTGACATTAAGTAGACCTCAGAGGAAACAGGTTTTTTGGGAAACAGTCAAATGTGGCAGTGTGGGACACATTAATGTAGGCTGCTGTTCATTTGGGCTTAGGGGTTCAAGCCGATGAAATCATCACTCACTGCAGTTTTAAATAACATCTCTGTAACATCATCAGCTTTTACACGAGCTGCTTTTAGCATACAGGTGTTTACAGAGTCTCGCATTGAGGAAGTGATGTTTAATGCCTGGGATAAATAAAAGAGTAAAAGCCAGCTACTGAAAATGTAAAGAAAATCAACAGTAAACAAAAAAAAAAAAAAAGAGTTAAAAAGACTTATAAATAAGTCATCTCTGGGAACGACGGAGCAGAAAACCACAACAAGAAGCTCACCAAAGATGGAGACAACTTAAACACAGATTTGGCGGATTACCACTTTGACTCTGGAGTTCAGCTACATGGGTGACAAAGAAAATGATTTCTCTCACAGATCCACTGGGGAAAAAAACCCAAACCAAAACACTCCACTCATAACACAAAATGCAGGTAACACATCCACATGAACTATGTGCTAGTATTTAGCCATAATGCAATGAATAGATTTTAAACAATCTGCACATCATAGAAAGAATACATAATATTTTAAAAGGAACATTAAAACTTTGTGTTAAATCTCTGATCTCGTAAACTATAAAATAGACAGATCTGGAAAAATAAACATAATATTCATTTAATTCTGTTAAAATCAAAAGTGATGACATTCTGGTAATCTGTCGGGAACATTTAAGATTTCTGAGGATTAAAGTGAACCTCCTTGTAACATATATTTTCTAGATTAATTTCAGTTGGGAGTAGCTTATAAGTTCTTTTTATGAATCGCAGTTATTGCACATTAACTCTATGCGCCGTCTGTAAATCTCTTTAAATGGCACCGAAGACCGATTTGGACTCAGGAGCTGCCTTACAGTGAATAAGATGCGATTTGCTTTACGGTGATTTACATTTGCACATAAACTCTGTATATGTACGGTGATGAATTTCATTTTAAAATGTAAAAACAAAAAACAAATAAAAAAAAGTGTGTTATTGCTAAACCTACGAGATACAAAATCTTTTCTTGCTACAATATAGAAGGTAAAAAAGAGTTCATCAAAAACAGGACACAGAAAAAGGAAATCAATGGTCTTTCATACAGAGACACAAGCACCAGTAGAGGAATCAATAGAAACAACACTGTACAAATGATATCTATGGAAAAAATGGCGAAGGATCCACTGCAAAATGGATGAAAGCAAACCAAGTGGATAAAATAAACCAAACTACAAACACAAGAAAGGGAGTATTCAAGTCACGACTGGGGTGTAGAACCTAGAAAAGGGACTATAAAGTCAAAACTTTCAGTGTTAGCCTCCCTCATACTTGTTTTTCAAAGCACCAAATTCAGGACAAACGCTCTCTTCGTTTTTGCTCAGTAATCGGTGGTACACTGGAAGGGAGAGAGTGAAAGAGTCTTCTACTTTCGGTCGGTTTTGCTCCATGATGGAGAGACGCCTTTGGGATCCTCAACACAAACAGATGGCCTTAAAGATCCACACACTTCTTCACTTCTTCTTCTTTTGGAACAGCCTGGAGATCACAAAGACAAGAAAAGCAGGCTGAGAGCAATGCCGTGAAACACAGCTGCACTAAATGAAGTCATGCTGAGTTTAATTTTTTTTTCTGTTTTCTGAAAAATGTCACATGGTGTGGTAAAAGGATAAATTAGCAACAAGACAAACGTTTAATCTTAAAAAAAGCCCAGTATGACACCATATACTTTTAGGATCCATCCATCCATCCATATATCCATCCATCCATCTACCCAATGCATTTGTCCATCCAGTTTTTGCTCCTTATCCAGTTTGCAGACATGCCCAGACCTCCCTTTACCCATCCACCTCCTTAAGATGTTCTGGAGGTATCCCGAGGCTCTTTTCATGCCAGAATAGAGGCATCTCGCTAGTTTGGCAATCCAAACATTTGACTAAAATGACAAGGGACAAAGCAGGGATTGTTTTTCTTCAAAAGACACACCTCTCAGATTTTTATGTTAAACTCAAAAGGATGGGTTTTAATCAAAATGTTCTCATAATTGCAGACGGATTGTGACAAAGATGATATCAGAGGGGCTTAATTTTGATCTACACTCTGAAATTAAAAACACAGAGGGAGGATATTTTTTGGTGAGGAGAAGATTGGAGATTTGAGATTGGAGGGTTTTTTTTGTAATTTACATGAATCACATGCAGCAAAATGTGCTTTCCTTGAGAATTTTTGTGTTAAAATTAACTGAAGTTACAGTTCAGTCAATTCAGTTCAGTTAACTTCAGTTCAATTTATTTAGCAACAAATCACAACTACAGTCCCCTCAGTATATTGTAAGGTAAAGACCCTACAAAAATAGAGAGAAAACCCCAGCAATTAGCAATGAGCAAGCACTTGGTGACAGTAGGAAGAAAAAACTCCCTTTTAACA